TGAATTAGCAAAAACCCTTAAAAAAATGAAAAATAATAAAAGTCCTGGTTCAGATGGTTTCACTGTTGAATTTTTTAAAATATTTTGGAAACAGTTAGGGCATTTTATTCTTAGATCAATAAATTATGGTTATACTATATCTGAACTATCAGAAACACAGAAACAAGGAATTATTACTTGCATCCCAAAAGGAGATAAACCTCGTAACAAATTAAAAAACTGGAGACCAATTACCCTTCTAAATAATATTTATAAAATGGCATCTGGTGCAATAGCTGAACGATTAAAAACAATAATAACCAAATTGATAAGTAATAACCAAACTGGCTTTATTCCTGGTAGATACATAGGGGAAAATACTCGTTTAATATATGATGTTATGCAATATACAGAAGACTATGATATTCCTGGACTTATACTTCTCATTGATTTTGAAAAAGCCTTTGATTCTGTTTCTTGGAACTTTATAGCAAAAACCCTAAAATATTTCAAATTTGGCCCAACTATAATTAACTGGATAAAACTGTTTCAACAAAAAATTCACTCAGCAGTAAACATAGGGGGAAACTTATCACATTTTTTCAGCATAGAACGTGGCTGTCGCCAAGGAGATCCTGTATCTTCTTATATTTTTATATTATGTGCAGAAATTTTATCGATACTTTTAAGAAATAACAATAACATTAAGGGGATATTTGTACGGGATAATGAAATTCTGTTATCACAATTTGCAGATGATACATCTGTTATTTTAGATGGCTCTAAAAGATCTCTGGATGAAACTTTAAAAGATCTCTCTTATTATGCAAAATTATCAGGATTAAAAATGAATTTCTCCAAGACCCAGGTAGTTTGGATTGGCAGCAAAAAATATAGTGGAAACACTTACACAACAGATTGCAATTTACAATGGGGAAGTACAACTTTCAATTTGCTAGGGATAGACTATGATGTAGACTTGCACAGAATTACAAAACTGAATTTTGATAAAAAAAACTTATAAAACTAAAATCTCTTATATCATCATGGAATAGACGAGTACTTACACCAATAGGTAAAATATCAGTTATTAAAACACTACTTATATCACAGTTTAACCATTTATTTATAGCACTACCAAATCCTGATGAAACATATATAAGAAAAATTAATAGTACACTGTATGAATTTTTGTGGAATGGTAAACCAGATAAAATAAAGATGTGATAATTAAAAGTTATGAAGAAGGTGGTCTGAAAATAATACATTTAAAATCTTTTATAACAGCTCTTAAAGCAACATAGATAAGACGGGTATATAAAGAAGAAGGAAATTGGGCTCTTATTTTAGAAACTTATTTTGATAAAGAAACATTAGCTAACTGCGGGCTTGAAAAATTGAAAGAAGAATCTAAACGTTGTAGTAACCTCCCTTGGAAAGATGTCTTAGAAGCATGGTACAATACTATTATCTCTAGCAATATATACAATACAAATATACGTGAAAACACTCTGTGGTTCAATAGTGAAATTAAAATTGACAAAAAATTTACATTAAAAAATTCATGGTTTAAAAAGGGAGTACAATTTTTATATAACGTTATTAAACAGGATGGTTCTCTCTACCACTTTGAAGAATTTCAAGAAAAATATAACATAAATACTAATTTTTTGACATACCAAGGCCTAAAGAATGCTGTGCATCATTTTATAAGAAATAATCATCACATTTTTACTTCAGAAAAAACGTTTTTCTTTCCAAATATACCTATCAATCTTAATTTAATACTTAAAATTAGTAAAGGAGCACAAGACATATAATAAAAATATTAATTTAAAATAGTGTTAAACCTACTACTCAAAGAAAATGGATATTAAATGATAATATAGATGATGAAACATGGAAAAAATATATTAATGTCCTTTTTAAACCACCACCAACTCCAAACTACAGTGGCTACAGTACAGAATAAACCACAGAATTCTCACAACAAACACATTTTTATTCAAAATTGGCAAATCACACAATAACCTTTGCACTTTCTGTAAAATTCACCCTGAAACAATAGTTCATATGCTATGGGATTGCAAAAAATTGATAGGCTAATTGACGAGCTGAAAACAAATATTATAACTAAAAACCTTACACTAAGATTTGAAAAACGAGAATTCCTTTTTGGTAAACATACATATAACCATACAAAGTTTGATATAGAAAACATCATAATACTACTTATAAAACAAAACATATATAAAACTAAATGCCTAGAAATTGACCTTAATCTGACTAGTCTCAAAAACCATATAAAATTTGAATTAAAAGCACAAAAGATCCTTGTGTATAAACAGAATAAATTAATAAATAAGGCTGAGTTAAACCATCAAATAGATAACTGGATGCAATTATAATATGACTATATATATATATATATGACATATTTGTTCTATACATATATACATCTATTGTACTTTATCGTCTCCCCACTGTAATAATAATCATCAAATATTTCATACATTTTAATTCGCCAGGCTTAAGTTAAAATATAATGACCTAGGAGTGCTCCCCATCCCCTGTGATGTTTTGTGGTTTTTTTTTTTCTGTTTCAGTTTATTTGGTTTTTCTCTTATGTGTTTGATGTCATAGGTTTATATATATTGTTTTTGCAGTAGTGTCTCGGTGTATGTCTTTATGTATGTACATGACATTGGCAATTTTTTGCTTAATATCTGCTTATGTGTTGATAATAATATCTTATATGATGATGATGATGATGATGATCTTTGTTTAATATGTATGAACAATCATGTACTTCGGAACAATGTCATATATGTTTTGTCTTGTCTTGTAAAAAATGAAAAAATAATAATAAAAAAAAAAAAGTTGCTAGTTTACGAAATAAGGTCGGACCTTGTAATCTGATGTTGTTTTCTGACGAACCTGGACAAAGCCTTGCAAGGCCTGTATAATTCCCAGAAAATGTAACATTTTAAAACAGACAAACCGGTTGATCCGCACAGGCCCCCGGTGTGTTGTTTACAGTTTGGAAGTTTTTGGGGTACAGCCATAGGTATTACTGTTCAAAGTATATGTCCTTAACGGTCGCAAAGCACGTGCAATATAGAAAAAAATACACTTAAACAATAAAAGTAATTACTTCTATCGACTTAGAGCTAACATTTATTGTAACTGGAAAAATTGCACCCGAAAACCCCCAAAGTCCAGGTATTTTGACACAGGTAGCGCAAAATTAAATCAGACATGGATGATTCCGGGTAGTATATGTACTATGTACAAATAGTGGTTCTGTTAGTCAGCTGACGGGACATGTCCGGTCAGTGTTAGGGCGTTGGCCTCCAGAACCTGGGGTCGTGGGTTCGATCCCAGCTGGGGCACTTCATCTTTCCACCGCTTTCTTTCCTATTACAGTAGAACGAGCTGTTGGATTTTTGTTTTGTTTATTTGAGTAACGCTACTTGCTAAAAAAAACAGCTGTCCTATCAACTATCTAATATTAACAATGAAGGGGTTTTGTGTATTGTAATTTGCCATTTGGATGCTTTGCACCTTTTTATACTTTTTATACATAAATTACATACAACTAAATAGTTGACTACATTATCTAAATTTAACACCAGTAAATATAAGAAAGATATTTGTTTTGAGCTTCTTGTAATGAAAAGGTCGCATATTTTGTTAATAATGTTGAAATTAACATAATAAACGACGAACATACAAAGTGTTGTTAAAGAGAACAATCAGGCCTTTGGCAAAGCTATTTATAATGTAATACTATGGATGTGTATGCCATAATTTTTAATCTTTTCCAGTTTATTCTTCTTGAAATAATAATATTGCTTCTTCAGGGATAGTACTTAAGTCAACGAAGCCATGAACAGATTATTTAATCCCGGGGATAAAGCGCTTTAAGACCATTCCATCTATGTAGATTACTTGTTTCCAGCATATCTTGGTCTGAATAAAATGTTTTAATTTAAGCCAATTTGACCCCTTTTAGCCCCGCCCCTCAGCACATGGGGGCGGGCCCGGGTCCAAACTGTCAAAGTATCAAACCATCGTTTCATAGTTATAATGTCTGTCAAGTTTGAATAATTTCCAATTGAAAATGAACCAAACATACCCAATTTTCCTACATAAATTATAGCAAACTTCGCTCCCTCCCCAGGGGCAAACATGGAGTCTGGGGGTCATGAAATTCACAATTTTGATAAAGTTCCTCAATACCCTTCCATCTATGACGAGTGTTGGTTTCAAGCCTATCTCAGTCTGGAAAAGATGACTGTTGAAATTTCTGGCTATATGATCCAATTTGGGCTCCACCCCTCAGCCCCTGGGGATGAGACAGGGTTAAAAATATCAAAGTATCAAACTGTCATCTCATTATCTTATAATGTAAATCAAGTTTGAATGATTTCCAGTAGAAAATGAACAAAATATACCCAAAAGTTGCATTTTCCTATATAAACTATAGTAAATTTCACCCCCTCACAAGGGGCAAACGTGATGCTCGAGTTTTTATTTTTAAATTCACAATTTTGATAAAGTACCTCACGAACCTTGAACCTATGAAGAGTATTGGTTTCCAGCATATCTTGGTCTGGATAAGATTTTTTAAAAATTTAAGCCAATTTGACCACTTTAAGCCTCGCCCCTCTGAGCCCCTGAAAATGTAAATTGTTTACGTACACACGACGGACGACGTCGGTCAAAAGGCGATTAGAATAGGTCACTTGAGACTTCGTCTCAGGTGACCTAAAAATCACAAGCAACGAGTCAATGGATGCATCTGAAAAACATGGACGTCGGTCGCTATTTCAAAGGCTCAAGCTAACCAAACGTGTTTAACGGTTAGAAGGGCAAAGTAAACGTATATGGTAACACATTGTTAGTTAAAAAAGAAAGAAGATGGGAAAAATATTCACAAATGTGATGTTTCATAAATTAGCACAGACGTGTGTTTTATTTTAGTTAAAACGGTTCATGTCAGAGGTACAAACTTAAAACAAGAAGATAGTAATGAGTATTATGCTCATTAATTTTATCTCACATGAACAATATTGTTAGCCCGGATATATGTATCAACAAATACACTAATTGGCGTTATGTTTTGTCATTTAATGTGGAATATACGTATCCAAGAGATCTCCAGGTCAGCACAAACTATTTTTAATTACCCAGATACTTGAATTAATGAATTAACTAATTACATATATTCGGTGTCAGAGATATCAACATCTTCCACAACAACATCTGAATCATGTCCATTAGAATTATCTGCCTTGTGCTGTTTCCGGTTTTTTGTTTCACGCCGTGTCTTGTCGCCCCTGTAATCGCCGTCTGTCTCATCGTCGTCAGCCTCTTTCCCATCATTGTCGCCTGTGTTTGATACTGAAGCGTTGTTTTTAGTTTTCCTGACGATTATATATCTCGCCACTAATGCAATCACCCCAGCTGCGAGTAACATGCTAGCAGCGAGATAAAAGGCAGCTGAGTATTCGTCACCATCGTTCCGGCTGATTGCGTCCTCTGGAAGAAAGTCAATATGGAGAATACTTTGGACTGTTATGAAGCATGGAGCATAATAATACAGTTTGGTTTTAAACATCACAGAAACAGCAAACTATTGCATCGCTCCGTGATTTATATAAAGAAGAAATCAGCTGGGGAAAATTCTGTATAAATTGTTTGGGTATACTCGTGATATATCCTATTATATTTGGCTCTTAAGGCTTTTATGTACGTTCTCAGTCATTTATAGAAATAATCGCAGTTTGGACTGGACCCTTGTCCTTTTTGGACGGGGCTTTTGATTATTCTCTAACCTGGAAAGCTCAAACAATTGACAAAATGGTGAATATTTTCCCCTGTCGTTCGTTTCGATAAAAGTTTCTACATAGGATTCACACCCTTTTAGACAACTAAAGGCTTTCGTGAGTTTGGAGAGCATCGAGTTTTTAGGAGATGACGCAAAGCTCAACTTCTTTTCAAGGATAAACATCTTATGTTCATTAAGATCATTCGTCGGATCAAAAACAGTTGACACTCGAAACAGAGAAAGAATACAAACGTTGAGTAAGCATCTTTATAAACTGGGGTCATTGTATCGTTTTGAAAGTTATATAGAAATGAATAAGTATTTAATATCAAAATTTACTTTCTACACCAACAATGTACGTATTAAACGTGTCGCAACGTTTCAAGACCGACTGCAGTTTGGCAAGGGGACCAGTCGGTCTTGAAACGTTACGTCACTTTTAATACGTACATTGTTTGTGTAGAAAATAAACTTCGATATAACATATTTTCAAACTGATGAACCTTTTGAAGAATTAGTATCTAATTTTGCCACTGTGAAAACGGATGTTTACCTGCGGCTGGGGAGGCAACAATCTCACCTAATCCTGCTGAAAACCCCAACAAACCCTCTACTATTCGGATGTTGTGGACTCCGAACACATCCGGTACCGCGTTGTTTAGGAGTGAGGAGACGACAGCTGTGAGATAATGTAGTTCAAGACATAAGGTTTATTGAAAAACAAGGAAACAGTTTATTCATTTGTGACTGACTCGCAGAAAAAAAAGACCGACCACAAACAATACGTCAAAACGAATGAATATGATTTATATTATATATACATCTATATATATAAAGAAGTAATCTAATATAGGCTATGCTTGTTGTCTTATCCTATTGTTAAAAACAATAAAATTTGAAGAAATGAAATATCAGTAAACTTGATCGTAGATATTATTGGATGTTAAGGATCCCTGCGCCACTGCCAACAAATGTGACTAAGAAATATAAACTGTTTTTCGGCATGGCTATAGCTTTGATAAATAATTTCTGAATAGAAAACAAAGACTTTTATTAATAACAATAAAGATGGAATAAACATAATACAATCAATAACAGTGTTGTGGTAAAAATATCAAAAACAACGCGGAGCTAGACCTTAATTCGTACCCCGAACTTCAGGCTGGTAAACTATCGCTCTAACCCATTGAGCTAGCTGGCCGACGGACACGTACTCGCCCAATTGTCTACAGTTATATCCAGACGAAAGTTAAGGGGAGGTCACTGTTTATAGGAAACGCCATAGTGCAGTGGACCCTTAACATTTCGTGTTCCCTAGCAACTTCACTAAACATTTCCAAGTACTGACCTTGAGTAAATCCGAAAATAACGGAATAGGCGGCGACCCATCCGAACTTGTCAAAGGCGGGCATCTGTAGTGTCAGGAAACCAACAAACAGATCCATTGGTCCCCACAGGAGCAGGGTGGCGATCAGCCACTTAGACTTCCAGAAGATCACAGCAACATACCCTATCAGCGATCCGACTGGTATCAGAAGGAGCTGGATCAATTGCGCTATTAGCGAGAACGACTTGTCCGACATCATTGGCGTTATATACGATAATGGTATACCTCGACCTGTAGTATACAACCCAGGTTGAGTGAAATATTCAATTTATGTTATTAGTTTCAATCCTAGACAGACTATATATTCAGTAACCGTGCGAATATATTATTTAAGACATTTGTAAATTCTTAACAAGTTGTTTGCAATATTAAAAGTTTAGACGTCAACAGCGTGGTGTTAAAATCTGGACTATTTTAGTATCGAACAATCGATAACAAAATCAAGTTTCATTTTTCTTACCAAACTGGTCAAAGAAGTACAGCAACATGACTAAATAGAGCATGAAATCTTTAAACAACTTTATGTCCAAGACTCCTAGAATCGTTTGCACGAATGTACGTCCGGATGTGTCTTTCATCTTCAGTTCCAGCGGTTGGAGGAAGAAGGACGCAATCAGACCTAAAACTCCCGGTATAACCATACACTTGAAAGTGACCTCCCAGTTCAGCGACTGTCCCGTTATCAGCAAGACGATAATGATGATAATGACGACAATAGAACCCAGATTCGTCAACATGAGAGCAATGAGACGTCGCTTCTCAAAGTATTCCAATATCGGAATGATGGCGCAAAGATACCAGCAAGCCAGGCCGAGTCCTGCAGTAGGTGATAAAACATATCATAGATAATTGTCTCTACCTTTGTTTCCGTAATTTGTGACTGTCTTTTTAAAGTGAATTACTGATTGAATGAATTACTGTTTAATTAAAAAGTACCAGAAATATGTACCCAGTTTGACAATCATCATATATATGTCGTTTTGAAACGTTTCTCGTCATAATAATTCTGGTGGTGTGTACAAATCGGGACTTCGGCTCATGAATGATGTACATCGAGATCATATACAGAGTGATTCTTATGTAATCTTATTCACAAGAAAAAATGTCCGAAATTCATAAACATTCACTGTTTTAATATTCAGCACCTGTGACTCTAGTATCCTCACTGTGCTTAAATTATTTCTATTGGGGTTTTATCTAACTCTAAGAGAGCAGCTGATGTAAGTTATTGTTTGACACTAGATTACATGTTTCTTTAATGACATACTGTGTGTCTTTAAGAACGACAACTTACCTGCGATCCCTCCTAGAAGAACACCCATTAGTCCAGACAAATCGGCGTTCAGAAAACCGGAAATGAAGAACCCCACACTCACCATGATAGAACCAATGATGGCTACCTTCCGGTAACCAAGCAACACTATAGCAATGGCCACAAGGGGCGCTGTAATAATGACAAGTACGTGTTAAATGGAATCATTTTGTATCAAATAGTTTCTTTATAATGGTAGAAATCCAAAGACTTTCTCTGTGTCAAGGTATATAGTACTACGAGCTTATGTTGTAGGTAGAATCTTTAGTGCATTTTAAAGGACAATTGGGTTTGCAAGGTACCGTTTGGGAGAGCCTCCACTAGCTTTACCCTGCACTACCTAACCGAGGTACTTTGAATTGGCAGTGCAACCTGCTGGGAATTGTTTGTATGGGACCTTCTCTTGACTGTTTCCGGTTTCTATAGCGTGAAGTGAGTGAAGTTTGTTAAATATTTAATATTAGCGATATAAAATTAGAAAAAAAATTGTGTCCGCAAGAACATAGGAGATACATGACTTGCACTGTACCTGCTAGAAGTCGGATTTCCGTGCATGCCGTAGTGATACTGTCTGTCTCGTCCTCCCCGATGTCGACTTCCAGACCCTTTTTATCTACGCTCAGCATCAACAGACACGTCGAACTACATGCGTTTAAAGTTGCACACGCAGCAACTACCCGCCAGGCAGCAAAACCTCCGTCAGGAAGCTTTTCGATTGTTGAACCAGCCGCAGGCAATTCAAGTGCCAGGTTCCCATCTGCGACCTCCATTTCAGTTCCTTCCTGAAGATGAAGACACAAAATAATAGAATAAATTATCTCTTTAACGAGTTTGTCGTCAGTTTTATTGAATTGTTTTGGATATAACTGCAGCACTGTATGCTGGGGGAAACCGTTTCCAATGCGTAGTTCTATTGTCTGGAAGTGGTACAAGGATCCTTATGTTGACATTTTCTTTATTTCATTATTTCATATGGATATTTACGTTGTAATCAAATGATTGTAAATATTTAACCTAGTCAAACATATAAACAAAGATATATCATTGATTTACTGATCAAAAATGCTGGAGAATTCTGTTACCTTTGTAGTTTGTTCTTTCCGGCTGGGACGCCGTCCCTTTGTCACGGAGATGGTTACTGTGGCTATGTCGGGTCTAGACAACTCGGTGTCTTTATTGCCTTGCTGTGGGCGCGGTCTTTGGTAGGACCTTTGTTGTTGTGATGCAGAAGGCAGTGGTCTAATAGAAGTGTTGCCAAAGGAAACCGACTGGCTAGGAATATTGTTAGCGTTTGTGTTTGAGTGCTGTTGAATGGCTTTTCTCTGGGATGTAGGTGGTTGGTTTGCTGGTTGTTGACTAATGTAAACATCATTGTATTTCGGGAAGGCGGGTTGGGGTGGGGGCAGGGCTATGTGTTGTTGGTAATTATCAGGCCCCTGGGTATCCTGGTCAGTTCCACCCTGGTGAATCTGGTCCGGCGCAACGGTATGGTCTGCATGTCTGATGTAACCTTGAGACGGAGGCGGGGCTATGTGTTGTTGGTAACAACCAGGCCCCTGGATATCCTGGTCAGTTCCACCCTGGTGAATCTGGTCCGGCGCAAGGGTATGATCTGCATGTCCGGTGTAGCCTTGAGACGGATTAAACGTGTATACTGGAATGCTAGCGTTCTATGTAACAGAAATAAATATAATAGTAATAATTCAAATTCTTTCTCAACTCGCTGGAGAACATACAGCATTTAGGCTCTCACAGTTACATGTCGCATTCAACAATTCAAGCACTGCCCAACCAAGTGCTCATTTACAGCTGAGTAGATTGGATAAAGCGGAGTAAAGTATCTTGTTCAAGGGTGCAACACAATGCCTTGACGGGACTCGAACCTGCGATCCTTCAGCCAAGAGCCCGGCATCCTACCACTAGACTACAGTTCCTCTGTAACTAATTTATTAACAAGGAAGTTTACACTAAACAAATCCAAAATAAGAGGCCCGGAGGGCCTGTATCGCTCACGTGGAAATGTTAGCGATATTGAAGTTGAAAGAGTCAGATGTTGCTGTACATGTAATACATGGTTAGTCAGGGTTTATATTTATATGCAATTGCACAAAATCCTGTCATTACTACAGGAAAAGGAGGAATTTGCTATGTTTCCACTATTGGGCCCAGCCCCTGTCCCCAGGAGGGGGTCAGACCCACCGTTGATACAAAATTAGTTCCCCTTCACCCAAGGATGCTTTAGACCAAATATGGACATACTCCTGTCATTTCTACAGAAGAAGAAGGATTTTAAAGCTATTTTTCTATTCTCCCTATTTGGCTCCGCCCCTCTGCCCCAGGGGGTTAAATCTCACAGTTTATACAAAATTGGTCCCCCGTCACCTTAGGATGCTTCGTCCCAAATTTGGAAAACCCTGTCATTCCTACAGAAGATGTTTTTTTAAATGGCGGGTCATACTCACCATTTATACAAAATTGATTAACCTTCCCAATAGGATACTTCCCAATGGAAGACAAACATTATTAAAGCTATTCCTCTAAAACCCATATTGGGCCCGCCTCCCTGTCCCCAAGGGGGTCAGGACCACCGTTTATACAATATCGGTTCCCCTTCAACGAATAATGTTTCATACCAAATTTGGACAAACTCCTGTCATTCCTACAGCAGAAGAAGGATTTTGATGAATTTGCTATGTTTCCCCTATTGGCCCCCAGGGGGCCACATTCACTGCTTATACAAAATTGAGTCACTTTTTGTCCATGGTTACCCCAGACTTAATTGGGATGAAATTCTTTAATCCCTATGGTAGAAGAAGTATTTTTTTCAGACTGAATAATGATAAATTCCCTTAATCTCTACGGTAGAAAAAAGGATTTTAAAGGTTTTACCTCTATTTCACCTAATCAGCCCCGCCCCTTTGCCCCCATGGGGTCCACACCCACTGTTTATACAAAATTGTTTCCCCTTGGCCTAAGGATGCTTCAGACTAAATTAGGATACAATCCCTTAATCCCTACATTAGAAGAAGGATTTGAAAGGTTGTACATATATTTCTCCTATTTGGCCCTGCCCTTTTGCCCCCGGGGGGCCACTCCCACTTTTCTACAAAATTGAGTCCCCTTGGCCAAAGGATGCTCCAGACTTAACAAGTATAAAATCCCTTTATCCCTTCCGTAGTAGAAGTATTTTAAAGATTAAACCTCTATTCCCAGGAGTGCCACACCCACTGTTTATACAAAATTTAGTCCCCTTGGCCCAATGATGCTTCAAAGTTAAATAGGATAAAATTTCTTAATCCTTATGGTAGAAGAAGGATTTTAAAGGTTTTACCTCTATTTCCCCTATTTGGCCCCACCCCTCTGCCCCCAGGGGGGCCACACCCACCATTTATACAAAATTGAGTCCCTTTGGCCAAAGGATGCTCCAGACTAAATAAGTATAATATCCCTTTATCCCTACCGCAGAAGAAGGATTTTGATGAATTTGCTATGTTTCCCCTATTGGGCCCCGCCCCTCTGCCCCAAGTGGTCCACACTCACTGCTTATACAAAATAGAGTCTCAATTGTCCAAGGTTGCCCCAGACTTAATTGGGATGATTGGGATGAAATCCTTTCATCCCTATGGTAGAAGATGTATTTTTTTTCAGGTTTTACCTCTATTTCACCTATTAGGCTCTGCCCCTATACCTCCAAAGGGGACACCCCCACAGTTTATACAAAATTTAGGCCAAAGGATGTTCCAGACTAAATTAGGATAAAATCGCTTAATCTCCACGGTAGAAGATCGTTTTGAAGGTTTTACCTCTATTTCACCTATTCAGTCCCGCCCCTTTGCCCCCATGGGGTCCACGCCCACTGTTTATACAAAATTGAGTCCCCTTGGCCCAAGGATGCTCCAAACTAAATAAGGATAAAATCCCTTAATCCTTACGGTAGAAGAAGGATTTTAAATGTTTTACCTCTATTTCCCTTATTCAACCCCGCCCCACTGAACCCATTGGGTCCACACCCACTGTTTATACAAAATTAATTCCCCTTGACCAAAGGATGCTTCAGACTAAATTAGGATAAAATCCCTTAATCCCTACAATAGAAGAAGAATTTGAAAGGTTTTACCTATATTTCTCCTATTTGGCCCTGTCTTTTTGTCCCCAGGAGGGCCACACCCACTTTTTATACAAAATTTAGTCCCCTTGGCAAAAGAATGTTCCAGACTAAATAAGTATAATATCCCTTTATCCCTACCGTAGAAGAAGTATTTTAAAGGTTAAACCTCTATTTCCCCTATTCAGCCCCGCCCATCTATTCCCAAGAGGGCCACACCCACTGTTTATTCAAAATTGAGTCCCCTTGGCCCAATGATGCTTCAAACTAAAATAGGATAAAACCTCTTAATCCTTATGGTAGGAGAAGGATTTTAAAGGCTTTACCTCTATTTCCCCTATTTGGCCCCGCCCCTATGCCCCCAGAGGGGCCACACCAACCATTTATACAAAATTAAGTCCCCTTAGCCTAAGGATGCTCCAGATTCAATTTAGTCAAAATCTACTTGGCCGTTCAGGAAAAGTAGCGTTTAAAAGGAAAAATTGACCGACGGACGATGGACACTGCGGCATGGCATAAGCTCACCATGGTTCTTCGGACCAGGTGAGCTCAAAAACCGAAATGAGGTAACCTAAGTATTAGTAGATATATTACCTTAACAGACATGTTTAAAACAGAGGTTAAGAAACTAGTGAACCATCACTTCTCTCCCAGAAGCATATTCTATCCTCCACAAACAAGTCAATGTGAAATTCAGTGAAATAGTGTCAGTCTTTTAGTGAACAATGAGAAATGAACAAATATAATGAACACAGGACGACTCATCTGTATTTTCAAAACTCAAAAAATTTAAGTCTAGATAGTGTGTTGAATTGTGTTTTTGGACACCAAGATCGTCCATTTTGTCTGGTAAAGTCCTCGTTTAACGATATTAAACACACTTAATCCATGTGCCAATGGCTCTTGACAAGATATTCTTTCGATGATTGTACAATATGTTTTTTTTTCGTAATTTTGAGCGATTTAAGGACGTGCCTCATGTGTGTTGTGTAAGTCTGCATGTGTGTATGACAACTTTATGGTGAATCTCACGGAAATACCATGCCAAAGGCACGGCATTCCGTCCGGTCACATTATACTGACAACGGGTGAACCAGTTCGTGTTGCAATTCCCTTTTCTGAACGTAAAACAAGGACAGAACCCATCGCCTTTCTAATCTGGGCGAACGTTTAACATTAAGACCCAAAGTGAGGTATTGCCAAGCAAGGGACTAAGAAAATAAAAGTTAGTCAGAAGTAGAGTGTGTGTAGCAAATTATTTTTTGTCACTTTTGCGTCCTCAATACCCAGATCTGTAGGTGTTCCCATAATAGTCGCCTCATATGACACATGCAGTGGTTAACAGCAGAGATATTCTTATTTAGATCCCCGACCTGCAAGGGTGATGTCATTAGCGAGGTCCTTTTTAAGTTTACTTGATATGATAAAGTTAGTCCATTTGTTGATTGCCTTACGTAATAACTGTAAGTGTGTTGTTGTTATGGTATGTAATCATTCGAACCCTTTTGTTTTGTACCTTATCTAATAAATGTAGTGCTTTTGTTTTTTACCTGACGAAAATAGCCTTATCCTGTTTTTGTTTACCCTATATGGAGTCTTGTTGTTTAACCACCAGTTATCAATGTAGTCCTGTTGTCGTTCACCTTATGTAATTAGTTTAATCCTGTTGTTTACCTTAGGCAGTGTTTGTTGTCCTGTTGTTGTTTACCTTATGTAATCAGCGCAGTCCTGTTGTTGTTTACCTTATGTAATCAGCGCAGTCCTGTTGCACATGTGTGCATTGTATAACACTTTAATCAATAGTGACTCAACTTACTCAGACCTAATCAATAGTGACTCTAACTTACTAAGATCTAATCAATAGTGACTTACACTTACTCAGACCTAATCAATAGTGACTCTCACTCAGGCCTTAATCAATAGTGACTCTAACTTACTCAGACCTAATCAATAGTGACACTAACTTACTAAGATCTAATCAATAGTGACTTACACTTACTCAGACCTAATCAATAGTGACTCTCACTCAGACCTAATCAATAGTGACTCTAACTTACTCAGACCTAATCAATAGTGACTCTAACTTACTCAGACCTAATCAATAGTGACTCTAACTTACTCAGACCTAATCAATAGTGACTCTAACTTACTCAGACCTAATCAATAGTGACTCTAACTTACTCAGACCTAATCAATAGTGACTCTAACTTACTCAGACCTAATCAATAGTGACTCTAACTTACTCAGACCTAATCAATAGTGACTCTAACTTACTCAGACCTAATCAATAGTGACTCTAACTTACTCAGACCTAATCAATAGTGACTCTAACTTACTCAGACCTAATCAATAGTGACTCTAACTTACTCAGACCTAATCAATAGTGACTCTAACTTACTCAGACCTAATCAATAGTGACTCTAACTTACTCAGACCTAATCAATAGTGACTCAACTTACTCAGACCTAATCAATAGTGACTCTAACTTACTCAGACCTAATCAATAGTGACTCTAACTTACTTAGACTTAATCAATAGTGACTCTAACTTACTCAGACCTAATCAATAGTGACTCTAACTTACTCAGACCTAATCAATAGTGACACTAACTTACTCGGACCTAATCAATAGTGACACTAACGTACTCGGACCTAATCAATAGTGACTCTAACTTACTCCGACCTAATCAATAGTGACTCTAACTTACTCATACCTAATCAATAGTGACTCTAACTTACTCAGACCTGATCAATAGTGACACTAACTTACTCCGACCTAATCAATAGTGACTCTCACTCAGGCCTTAATCAATAGTGACTCTAACTTACTCAGACCTGATCAATAGTGACAATAACTTACTAAGATCTAATCAATAGTGACACTAACGAACTCGGACCTAATCAATAGTGCCTCTAACTTACTCAGACCTAGTCAATAGTGACTCTAACTTGCTCGGACCTAATCAATAGTGACTCTAACTTACTCGGACCTAATCAATAGTGCCTCTAACTTACTCAGACCTAGTCAATAGTGACTCTAACTTGCTCGGACCTAATCAATAGTGCCTCTAACTTACTCAGACCTCATCAATAGTGACTCTAACTTACTCATACCTAATCAATAGTGACTCTCACTCACTCAGACCTAATCATTACTGACTCTAACTTAATCAGACCTAATCAATAGTGATTCTAACTTACTCAGACCTAGTCAATAGTGACTCTAACTTACTCATACCTAATCAATAGTGACTCTCACTCAGGCCTTAATCAATAGTGACTCTAACTTACTCAGACCTAATCAATAGTGACTAACTTACTCAGACCTAATCAATAGTGACTCTAACTTACTCGGACCTAATCAATAGTGACTCTAACTTACTCGGACCTAATCAATAGTGACACTAACTTACTCAGACCTAATCAATAGTGACTCTCACTTACTCAGACCTAATCAATAGTGACACTAACGTACTCGGACCTAATCAATAGTGACTCTAACTTACTCGGACCTAATCAATAGTGACTCAACTTACTCAGACTTAATCAATAGTGACTCTAACTTACTTAGACTTAATCAATAGTGACTCTAACTTACTCAGACCTAATCAATAGTGTCTCTCACTTACTCAGACCTCATCAATAGTGTCTCTCACTTACTCGGATCTAATCAATAGTGACTCAACTTACTCAGACCTAATCAATAGTGACACTAACTTACTAAGATCTTATCAATAGTGACTTACACTTACTCAGACCTAATCAATAGTGACTCTCACTCAGACCTAATCAATAGTGACTCAACTTACTCAGACTTAATCAATAGTGACTCTAACTTACTTAGACTTAATCAATAGTGACTCTAACTTACTCAGACCTAATCAATAGTGACTAACTTACTCAGACCTAATCAATAGTGACTCTAACATACTCAGACCTAATCAATAGTGACTCTAACATACTCAGACCTAATCAATAGTGACTCTAACTTACTGAGACCTAATCAATAGTGACTCTAACATACTCAGACCTAATCAATAGTGACTCTAACTTACTGAGACCTAATCAATAGTGACTCTAACTTACTCAGACCTAATCAATAGTGACTCTAACATACTCAGACCTAATCAATAGTGACTCTAACTTACTCAGACCTAATCAATAGTGACTCTAACTTACTCAGACCTAATCAATAGTGACTCTAACTTACTCAGACCTAATCAATAGTGACTCTAACTTACTCAGACCTAATCAATAGTGACTCTAACTTACTCAGACCTAATCAATAGTGACTCTAACTTACTCAGACCTAATCAATAGTGACTCTAACTTACTCAGACCTAATCAATAGTGACTCTAACTTACTTAGACTTAATCAATAGTGACACTAACTTACTCAGACCTAATTAATAGCGACTCTCACTTACTCAGACCTATAACACCTTTAGTGTCCTAAATACCTTCATGAAAGCTACTGTATATGAATAAATCACTATTGTATTAACAAATTCAACCATTCAGAAAATCGGTATTTACGCCTTATGTATTTCATATTATATGTGTGTATGTACACATTGTAGTAAACGTCAATATTTGTGTCACGGATGACCTGGTTACAGACAGGTGGGAAACATATCACAATGTAGATAGCCGTAACATTTGTATATCAGGCTAGATCATATTCGAAGCGTCCAAGCGTAAGAAAAATCGATATATCTTAATATCCGATTGGTGGATAAACATTAGTATGTTTTCCTAATATCCTCCCGGCACCTGATACTAATGTAACTAACTCATTCATAAAAATGTTGTAATTAATATAACATTTGAAACCAAATTTCTAAATAGTATACAACCTTTGTTCAGATACTACAATTCTTATAAAAAGAACACTGCTGTTACTAGTGATGATTTGAAAGTGAATTTATTTGGTGACGGCATATGAAGTGTTTACGGTGAATTATACAAAATTAAATTTATTATTTATATTAGCGCTATTATGATTTTTTAAGTCCTTTTCTGCTGAAGTATTCGATTTATATCACAAATAGCCGTGTATTTTGCGCAATTACTATTTACAATTGTTCGAGTATTGGACTATTTAATGACAAAAATGAAAACAGTTTTACAGGAGGTCGAACTCGGAGCTTACATAATGCCGGTCTTATACTGAAATGCTACAATGAAGGGATTTGGAAATGCAAAGTATCATAGCAAAGGACATAACTCTGCGTTACATTTTGGTTGCTCTGTCTTATATACAGAAGGTAACTACTAAAATAATTCCGAAACTAAACGCGACTATTACTTAAACAGTGGTACCATTTACCTTCAATATACGACATTCTGTAATAATAATGGTTCATGCATCAGAAACAAGAACATACATTCTCCCATAAGACAGTTATAGCTTTACTTTGATCCAGGGTTTTGCTATCTTCATTTTTCACGGATGTTTGAGATAATCAACGATTTCACTATTTTAACGTCCGTCTTGCACATCTTCCGTCACCACAGACTCGTCTTTCCCCTCGGAAGGCTGAAACCAAACCTCCGAGTAAAGGATGGCTTTGAGAGTCTCCAGCGGACCACTGTTCTCTTGTTGTG